GCTGTCCCATTGAGCAAAAAAAGACCTCCAACATTTGAATCCATTATCTCCTACTGTTCAGATTAAGGCGCACATGTTGCCGGGGAGATTATGGCGGAGGGTCGAGCGACGCTTGTGTCTAGTAGGGTCGAGGCTTGAGGATTAAGTCTGTGGTTTGGTAACCCTATTGGTTAAGTACTTCCAGCAATCTAGTCACATGCCGTGTGTGCTGTGTCTTAACAAGTAACTCCTTTTATGTGTAGGAGATAATCGGATTTGACCGATATTCATACTTTTTCATACTTTCCAACTTAATCATATAGGAGTTCTTTAACTTTGGGTCTATTTGGCAAGTCTCTACAACACCTAACTCACCCAACAATAGGTAATAAACTTGTATGTATTATTGGAAGAATGAATCACCTTTTTTTCAAATAACAGCCATTCATTCTCAAGTTATAAATGTATATCTTAAAATTGAGCTAATAATTACAATAATTATAGGGGAAAAATATAAATTCTTAATAATAATAAATATAAATAATAAAATGTATTTTTGAACATCACCAATTTAAATAATAAAAAAAAAACTATAATGATACATAATAACTGAAATTCAAAACTGAACTTAAACTACAATAGCAACATATGCATTTTTATTATTAATAATAATAATAATAATATGATAAAATAAACTATAAAACTATAATGATACATTTTATATATATATATATATATATATATATATATATATATATATATATATATATATATATATATAAAAATATAACAAAATTATATGAATTATATTTTATCATATTATTATTATTATTATTAATAATAAAAATGCATATGTTGCTATTGTAGTTTAAGTTCAGTTTTGAATTTCAGTTATTGGATAGTTAATTCTTAACATTAAAATAATCCCTCACTATCGATCTTAAAAACAGTATATCAATCGATTGTGTGCTGTTGTGTGATAACCCTGTCCTTTTGGTTGTGTCAGCTGCAAAAACAGCACAGTATTTACCTTCTCATCACCGATTTATTCCACATCTTAGCCTTTTTGCCTTCAGGTAAAAGTGTTATTGCTTTTAAACATCAAGTGATGTGTATAAATAGCCTTGGCAAAATGTAGGGTAGGTCAGATATGAGAAAAAAAAAACATATGTCTAAAATGAATAAATCAATCATCGCTTACAGCCAAGCTAGAGTGTTGCAGGATAAGTGATACCTTAGCATTCGAAAACCCAGCTGTCTAGACAGCCCTTTTCCCCCCAAACAGACAAATCAATATATATTGATTACCCACTATGCCCTAGGGAATGACACAGATATGCTGCTTGGCAGGCAAGTGCACTGAACGGACCGAAGAGGAGCTCGAATCTGTTTAAGTGTGCCACCCTGACTGAATTTGTGTTCACCTGATCTCGACTTTGCCTCTCATGCACTGTTGCTCAGCGGTAGGAAGAGAACCGCAATCAAACATGGCACATGTCTCCTACCATTTGCTCGAGCGAGATGAGTACTAGCTGGAGAGTTTTCTCTTAGTGTTTTCACTAAGATGTGATGTAGCCAGAAGCTACATGAGAATTTCTTAGCAGAGGCAAAAAAATTACAATAAATAAATAAGAGATTTGCGCAGCTCAGAAAAATCAAACATTTATGCTATCGCTATCATGAGACACTATATCATGTACCTTGGCTATGCAAACAAGAATGACCTATTTAAGAGCCGTGGCATCTAGTCTTTCTAGTTAATGGGTGGTGGTCCGGTGCCTTATTCATTTTAATAGAGAGCCCGGAGACAGTGTGTGGCATTAGCTAGCTCTGTTTCTCTCTGCTCTGCTGGTCTGTGTTCCTGCAGCAAGACTTGTTACCTGTCGCCTCTCTCCTCGCTGCCCGTGGCTGACATTCTCCTTCTCTCACTCCTAATTGCCCCTGTGGGACTTATCAGGGCTGCTGTGGCTGTCTGCAGTGTGGCTGAGCTTTCAGCGAAGGCCGCGCTCGAGGCCCCGCCTCACTCGCTTTCTCTCTCTCCCGCTTCCCGCTGCCTGACTAACTCCCCGCGTCCTCCACAGGTGTCGCCGGTCTTCCTCGTCCTCCCTCACCTGTCAGCCCCCGCCTCACTCGGCTTCTGAGGGGATTGTGTCTTTGAAAGAAAAAGAAAAACAAAACCTAAAAATAAATAGGAAATCTGATGTCTCAAGGTCAGACTGCATGGTAAATTGCCTGATCTGAAAACAACAGCAGATAACGTTCAGGCAGACGTAAGAGAGGTGCTATTGAGGTTAATTTGTTTTGTCTGTGTTTTGGATAGCAGACAACTGTGGCCCTGTTTATGGCAGGCACCCGGTGAGTTAATTACTTTATCGTTGCATTAATTGAAACATGAAAAATGAAAACATGCTAGTGTAACACAGTCAGTTTAAAGGTGATGTGTGTAATTTATTCTACAGTTTGTGGGTTGGGTTCTCAGAAACTCTGTGGTCTGTTGTGCTTTCATAACGTTGGTTGTTTGAGCTTCCACACCAGCCTGACACAGCAACAGTGGCTGAGTTTGGGCGGGACTAATCGCTGACAGGGAGAATGTTTGGGAAAACTTTTAAAAGCAAATTTACGCACTGCAGCTTTAGTTAATTGTGAAGTTTGCCAAAATCTGTTTATATTGTAATTAACAAAACATTTTATTTTGAGTTTTATCACATTCATGTTATAATAATAATAAAATAACCAGTGGTTAGTAACATCAAATTTTCTAAATCCCAGGCCAGAACATAACATACTCATGCTTTCCCCTTTTTCATTTTGAAATACACATAAAAATAAGTCTTATTTTTAGCACTTACTTTCACCATGCTGTGCCATGCAAAGCATGCTGTAAAATGGAAACAAACTAGGTAAAGTTGTATTTTTTAAATTAATGTTTGGGGGATTATCACATGTGAATAAAATCAAGGAAACGCCAGTGTCAAAATATTTTTCAATTATTGCCACACACTCATCAAGTGAAGCAAACTATATATTGTAGACTATTTCTTCTGTGAATCACAAATGAAAATATTTTAAGGATTGTTGGGGTCCAACATTCATTTTTCCCCCCAAATTATCTTTGCATTTTACAGAAGAACGACAGTAATGCAGAATGAGGTTAATAGGCATTTGGATTATCACCCTCTAGTGGCACCTTTACGTTATGATAATAGTGGGTTTGAAGGTTTAAGAAAAGCTGCAACGGAAGCTAACACTAAATATTATTCAGTTTATGTTTTTAGTTATTTTTTGTTTGCTTTTTTGGGAACAACATAAGTGTGTGTACTGTAAATGATGAAATATTTTTTTTCATTTTCGTCTAAATTATCCTTTTAAGGTACTCAATCATGACTTTCACAGTATAAGACTGACATAAAGAGTCTGTAGTTGTGGCTCAGCATGTATCAAAATGTCACAACAGTGAGCCTGTAAAATGAAGTGCTGTGTGAAACCATAGTGTCCCATTGAGTTCTCCTAGTTCTGTGCTTATATTTACAGTAAGGACAGCAGGGGAATATTCATCCTTCACTATCCATCTCCCTCTCAGCAGGGTGGACTTGTAAATGAACGAGCAGACATTTTGTGCTGGAAACTGTGTCTGTTCACTCTGACACACCATGTAACAAAACCGCTTTAGATCCAGCTGAGTTCCCCCGGCAGGACTGTGTCAAGGGATTTGCCAGGTCACAGAGCTGAGCAAAATGGCTGCCTGAGTTTGACTAATGTGCTACAGGAGCCCGCTCTCTTTGCCCAGGAGTTTTGGGTGGCTGAAATTCATTAAAGAGCAGCATCCATAAACTATAATTGTTGGACATAACAGGGCCCGCTTTTTCCATCTCGCTTTCCTGTTTGTACTGAAATACACAGATAGAATCATGCGCACACTTATATTTATACATACGTAGAGCTCCCATGATCATTTCTAGCTCATTGACTTTGACAGCAAATCAATATCCTGCGCCATCTATTGTTACCTAATTCAATTAGGCCAATTCATAAAACAGAACATAATGGAGCTAATGGAAAGCGCTATTAGGGGAATAGCGGCACCATTTAAGTCACGCACGGAACTACGAAAGTCAATTCAGCATTGCAATTGTGCATTTCCATCTGAATCGCTGGCCCTCAGCCGCCGCTCTTCCCGGATGAAGGGCGATGTTGACCTGATGCATTTTTACACCAATGGAGAGAGGTGCGCCAATGTCGCAAGCAATATTGTAAATCAAAAACCAAAGGTACTTAAACGCGATTCATTGAGAGTCTCACCTTCGCCACTTTGCGCAATCACATTTGCAATCTGCTTGATAAACTGCGAGAGGGAGCGAGGGCAGGCGTTCAGTTGCAGACAAAGCCGCAGATTGATGTGGAAACAGGAAACGTGCTGATTGCTGATTATTATGTGGTGGCAGGATGCTTTTGTCTCTCAGACTGTCATTCCAGCAGGTCAGTTCAGAGCCAGCAGGCTATTGTGACCGTGCATTCTGATAAAACCCAACACACTTTGGTTGTTGGGTTTTTTTGAGGGCCGGCTGAATTCAATAGCGCTGCGAGTGTTTAGATCTTTAAAGCGGGGCATTTAGAGAGCATACGTATTGATTCATTGATTACAGATTTGCGAGAGCTCGCCCATTGGCCTGCTTTACAGTATTTTAAGAGTCAGAGGTTAATGGCTAGGTGGAAAAAAAGCCTTTCTGCCTTTTATAATGATGGCTGCAGCACTTTGAATGGCCTCTGGTTTTATACTTCATGAATGTGGGATGCCAATTATATAGATATCAGAGCCTTGGCCACAAAACGTACAGTGGAATTGGTGTCTTATGGAGAGTGTTTCAAAGATATCTTTAATAAGGGGATGGCTGTCGTGTGATACAGGAGCTCAAGTTGCCTTTAATTAGGAAGGGAAGCATTGCCAGCAGCCTTGGGATAACACCGTGAGACTTTGCCCAATAACTGATTGTTTTTCAATTCCTTTCTCTCTCTTATTACAGGTACTGTGTTGCTCGCTGGCAGTCGGAAGGACTATGAGAGTGGCTGCCGCCTGCACTGCAGAGCTCTGTAACTTTGGCAGATAGGATCATTATACCCCTCTAAGACGCCCTAAGAGCGGAAAAGATGAAGACTTGGATTGTACTTCTTCTGTGGGCATGTGCACACCAGAGTGTGAATGCAGTTGCCCTTTCAAGAGGGCCAGTTCGAAGGAAAACCAAAGAAATTGAAGGACGACAAGACAAAGATTTGCTCAGACGTTCAAAGAGAGGATGGATGTGGAGACAGTTTTTTCTTCAAGAGGAGTACACAGGAACAGAGCACCAGTACATTGGCAAGGTATGAGATCGTGTTTCTTTTCCAGGGTATAAAGGTGGTGTGAATAGTGCTGGAGTAGCTAATATTGATGGAGTCGATTGCAGAGATTTGGTTTCATCACTCCTGTCTTCTGAGGTTAATAAACAGAGAATGATCAAAACTATGGCTATGCCATATGTAGGGATCTCCAGCATAGAGCCTGCTGGATTTGAGATAAGGAGCAGGGTGAAATCTGACCTCTCTTGTACCTCACACTTCATCTGAACCTCAGAGTTGCTGAGGATCAAAGATTAGAATAAAATATAGCAGCTTGATACTGTTGCTTATAGCAGAAGATCTCAAACTGTGGCCCTCAGTTGGTAGGCGACACAACTCAGAATTGACAATACTAAAATATAAGATCATCAGTTTAAAATGTTAATTAATTAAAATATTAAATATTCTGTAAAAAAATAATCATTGACTGTGTAAACACAACGTGGGGGGGGGGGGCTCAAGAAGCATCACATTAGTGAAAAAACTGACGCAATATCAAATATGATATGTGAAAAATTGCACCAGTATTAAAAATGTGATCAATACAGATAAAGTCGATCGGAATTTTCATTTTAAGACTAAAATAATTGTAAAATATGAAAATTTGATATTAATAAGAATACATTTAACTTTGTTATTGAATTATTCATTTAATTAAAGATTAGATGTTGGCAGGGTAAATTAGCAGTTCACAATTAAATATCCAATATCAACATACCAATATAAACAAATAAAAGTAACAATAACCAATATACTACATATATTATGCATCCCAAAATATACACTAAAGTTCAAAATGTTTGTGGTAAGTAACATTTTTATTTTGAAATAAATGAATACTTTTATTCATCAAGGACACATTAAATGGAAAAAGTGACTTATTAGTAAAGACATGATGATACAAAAATTATATTTCGAATAAATGCTGTTCTTTTGTATTTTCTATTCATTAAACAATCCTAAAAAATCAAATTTTCCACAAAAATATTGTTAATAAAAAAATGTTGTTTGAGTACCAAATTAGCATATTAGAATGATTGATTTCTATTGGATCAAAAACATGAAGAAATCTTATTGACACCAAACACGGATTTGTATATTATACAATATTAATTAATAATGAGTTTGAAATGGAATGTAAATTTACAACAATAAAATTCTTAGTTTTTTTTTTCTTGTAAATGCTGTTCTGTATAAGGCCTGTGAAGGAACTGATAAGAGATTTAAAGGAATATTGATATTAATCAAAATATGACAAAATATGTATCTTCAATACACAGTCCTTAAGCTTGCACTCCAGAGAGGAGAATGTATTAGGTGGTACTTGGATGTTCTGATTTGATCAAAGGTGCTACTTGGCCTGAAAAGTCTGAGAACCCCTGACTTAGAGACTTGAAGGCTTTGCAAAGGATCACAGACCACTGGATTATTCATGTGGGAGGTTGTAAGCGCAGAATTCACAAAGCTCTCATTGTTGCTATGGACATTATGTGTCTGGATCATGTAGCAGTCAATGTGGAGTAGAAGCAGCTATTTCTAAAATGTTCAGAGGGAAAATCACGAAGAGCAAAAGAGCCATTGTGTTTGAATGGTCTTTTGTATTTTACTACCCCATTTTACTATAACAAAGCGGCTCATTCAAGTGGAAAGAAATGTCAAATCATTCACTCACTCCTCTATCAGATGTCATTGTCAAAGCTAATCACATCACACCTTCAGCTCTGAAGTGTGATGCTCCTATCAATCAATTCCGTCATTTCTTCTAACAATAGTCATTATCGAAAATAAAAAACAGTTCGACACATCTCTGAAAGACGAGAAGCAGAAAAGTTTGATTTACCTTAATATCAGATCAAAGTGGTTGCACTAAGAGATACCATGTGGCAGCATCACTGTTAGCAATAGACGTGCATTCACCTTGATTGCACATTCAGCGTGTTGTACTTTCATCTGATATGCCATCAGAATTCAATTCCGCAAGGACTCATTTTCACATATTTACCATGGAGTGTCTGTCTCTTGCTACATAGTATTTCTTCATTGTTTCATTCCTTCAAAATCAACGGATATCGAATACATTTAGAATATTGAATGCAATACATATGCATGAGCCCTATCAACAGCAGAATGAGAGGAGGTGCTGATGAAATGCTTGAATTGCTTCCTCTCAACAGCTTCACTCAGATATGGATAAAGGAGATGGCACAGTGATGTACGTTCTCGCAGGAGATGGTGCGGGGACGATCTTTGTGATAGATTCCAACTCAGGCGATCTGCATGCTACCAGGAGCCTGGACAGAGAAGAGAAGCCTTTCTACACGCTCCGAGCCCAGGTTGTCAACAAGAAGACCGGCCTCCCACTGGAGCCAGAGACAGAGTTTACTGTGAAACTACACGACATCAATGACAATGAGCCCAAGTTTGACAAGGAGGTTTATACAGCATCCGTACCTGAGAGGTCACACATTGGTAAGATTCGGCAGCTTCAAAAACAAGTTTTGTGAGCAAACATGAGTGATGTAAATATTGTAGAAGTAATACAAAACAATCTATTGCTTTATATAGTAGTACAAAACAAAAATGTATCATATTTTTAAGGAATAATTAAGTCCAAAATAAAAAAAATATTATTTACTCTCATGTTGTTCCACACTGAAAAATTGACACAAAGGTTAATTTTGTCCATGCAGTTCGATTCATAGCGACTGGAACCTTTTAAGCTGTAAAAAGGATACAAAATTTCATTATTCACTGATAATCTTACCCTGGAAAACTGTTAACTGCTGCAACTGCCCTTGTGAAAAAAAATATTTGAAATGCATTTATTTCATATTAAGTATACTACAAGTATATTTACATATTTATGTACTTATAAAAATACCCTGCAGGTATAATTTTGGTATACTAAACTGGTATACATACTGGTATAAAGTCTGCTAAATTGGAACAAATAATTTTGTACTTAATGCACTTTTATTGTGCGGAAGTACTGCTGAGGTCCAGCTGAAGACATATTGAGGTGTATTTGTATTTGCTAAAGTGGAACTATTGCAAGTATACTTCAGCTATACTTTAAGTATCGTGTTAAGTATGACTAATATTAGACCGATATTTTTTCAAAGATCATACAATCCTCATCAATAGTGACATCAAAACACATTTTAGGCCTAATATTAAGAAATGTGCAATGTGCACAAGTAGTACTCCAAATAAAGTCTAATTAAAAAATTTTATCAGTAAGTCTCAAACGATAGTAAATAAGTTAACAGATTTGAACTATACTTAGTATGAAATAAATGTATTTTAAATATAATACTTTTTTACATGGGTGGATTAATCAGTGAGTTGAGCTTCAAAACCAAACCAGTCAGATTCGTGAATGAATCATTCACGTTTCGCAAAAATTGGTTCAATTTCATTTTGTAGTATTTTTGTAGCTTGAAATTTTCAGTCCCGAATCATTACCCAACAAGTACATTCATATCCTTTTGTTTTCCACTGAAGAAGAACAAACGTCATGTGAGTGACTGCATAATGACAGGTTTTTCGGTGATCTCTTCCTTGAACTGATTTCTTGTTTTTCAGGCACCTATGTCACTCAAGTTACCGCCCAGGATGCAGATGATGAAATGTTTGGCTACAGTGCTAAGCTGTCCTACAGCATCAGCCAGGGTCATCCATACTTCTCAGTAGAGCCAAATACAGGTCAGTCCTGTTAAACTGTTATATCATAGACAGAGATGGTGAGATAAACAGAGAGACACAGAGAGAGTGTGTGTATCTGTATAATTTGATATGGGGCAAGGGTTGTACTGCAGCTCTGTCGTTCAAGCATTTTAGCTGAGCAAATTCACCCAGCGAGTTTAATCATTGCTAATGTGTGCCCTGGAACATTTCCCGCAGAGGTCTTTGTTTAAACAAAAGAGAAATAGAAACACAAAAGCTCCCATGGCAGATTAGTGTCCAGCTTAGCACTGATATGCTTTAGCCCAGATGGGACACGAACGATGATGTCCATGAGCACACGAAATCCTAAGACCGAAAAAAGGGATATTCATTAGAGGTGGGGGTTAATCTGGGAACATTTGTGCCTTTCAAAGAAGCAGCAGGGTCTGGGTTCTTCTCTACATGAATTACTGGATTTGCCTTTTGCCTTTTTTAGGTCTAACCAAGACATCAGGCATATTCATGTTCAAAGTCAACGTGAATCACTGCTTGAAAGCCGCTTTACTTCTGTAATGTGACGTAATAGGAATTTCAATGACAAAAACATTAGGATGGGACTGAGGGCGTTACAAACCAGAATGTGAGATTACTAAACAATCCCATAAAATATATTTAGCTACTGGTTAACATTATCCAGTAGTTTAGTAGTTTTCTTAGAGTTTTTACTTTTAACGTCGTTTAGTCGTCTAGTCGTTTAAACGAAAGTTTTGTATCCGACTAGTCGACTAGTCTAAAAACCCCCTAAAGATGGTAAGAAAAAAAAACCTCTGTGCATGCGTGTAGCAAATGTGCAACAGTGTGTAGTGTGAGAGTCAATGAATAGGAAAGTTCGTTGACCGGATTCGTGACAATTTCATTTTAGGCGGTCGTTAAAAAATAAAGAAGAGCATACACTTAACGTCGGCCAAAGCATAGCTTATTTATTCAAATCAGCTGGGGAAATGCAGAACAATGGAAAATCAATCAATAGCCTGTCAATAGATATTCTTAATCTTCATATAACATTAGCCAACATATTAAAACACAAGTCAAAAACAATAGGAAGGTTTATCAAGAAATAGCATTAAAACGGCTTTTAAAAACATATACTTTGTGTAGGCTATATCGTCTAAAAACAAAATGCAACAATGCCCATTTTACTTACTCAGACCATGCGTTATTTGTTCAGTGAAATTATCAACGTGGTCTGGTGAAAGACGGGACCTGAGGCGATTAAGTTAACAATAAAATTCCTGCACTTGAAAAAAACGCGCTCGGCAGGAACTGAAGTTGCAGGCACGCAGAGATAACGAAAAGCAAGCCGATAGAGTTTCAGAAAGCGCCTGGACACCCCGCACCACCACCGAAATGGGTCTTCATTAGAGGAATAGACGGCGCGGATGGGATCACAGCGCCGGCGGGTTGTAGTGAATGACGTGATTGACACATTTGCTGGCTTTGGCTAGTCTCTAAGCTAACGCCTACGTGCCTGTATTGAATATGAATATGCATCGCTCCAGTAGAGTTATTGTAAGACAATTTGACATTACACAGTTTACACAAAACTTTTCCGTTTCCTTCTAATTCAAAATAATCCCACACCTTGCTCGTCTTTCGCATGGTCATTTTTGAACTCACCGCAACTGACACGAAGAAAAGCATGTGAGGTCTGAGGTAAAAATGTGGTTTCCTCCCAGATAAACTTTTAAAAATAATGTATTATTTTTCAAACGTTTTAATTTAACTTGTTATTTTAAATGTTTTAAATGCAGTGTTAAAATGAGGGTAATTTGAATGATAAAATCATGTTTTGGGCTTTTTTTTCTGTCGTGTAGTCGACTATTGTTTTCAGTGTCGACTAGAAGGAGCTGTACCGTTTAGTCGACTAGACCCGCATATCCCTAGTTAAATTAATGTGCAATGATCAAAAACATTCACAATAACAAAAGGATTTTATAATATCTTTAATAATAATAATTATTATTATTATTAGTATCATTATTGTGTGTATCATATAAATATACAATTAATATAATAAATAAAATTTAACAATTATGCATTTTATGCATAATTAAGGGTTATGATTACATGTTGTCTTAAAGGGGTCATAGGATGCCCATCTTCCACAAGTTGATATGATTCTTTAGGGTCTTAAAGAAAAGTCTATAACATAGTTTGGTTAAAATTTCTCAATGGTAGTGTAAAAAACACATTTTTTACCCTTTCAAAAACAGCTCTTTTCAGATCAAGCCATTTTGTAGCATTTTCCTTTAAATGTTAATGAGCTCTGCTGACCCCGCCCCTCTCTTCCGAGCCGCTCTCTGAGGGACTGTTTACTTTAGCTGCATTCATCTTGAAACTTGCTAATCAGCACATTATTAGGAAAGGCAATTTGCAAAGATTCATTACAAAACATACTCACTTCTTCTGTAGATGAGGATGGATCATGAATGATTCGCGCGAACATAGACACATTTAAGTAGATCGGGGGCACATTCCCTTTAGAAACAATGTAATCCACTGCATCTTCAATGGCTCAGATGTCGGGAGTAAATGACGACGGCTATGTTCATTATTACATCCAACAACAGAACACCTCAATCGCTTAGGAGTCATTCTTGTCTACATCTGCTCCAGCGGTAAAACAATGGTGGACTGATGATAGCTCACTCAGGGTGGGTCAAAGGCAGGGATGGGCAAACTTGGCCCTTCCAGGCCACTTTCCTTCAGAGTTTAGCTCCAACCCTAATCAAACACACCTGAACCAGCTAATCATTGTCTTCAAGACTACTAGAAGGCTACAGGCAGGTGAGTTTTATCAGGGTTGCTGTGTGAGGTCACACAGACAGGCATCTGAGATCAACTCGATTTGAGAAAGGGGAAAACATTTAACCAGATAAAAAAAAAAAAAACACTGGGTGGATTTTTATCATTATAGGGTGGTTGTGTACACACACTGCCAACACACATTTCAGTTCAAACAACTCGTAAAAGTGCATGTCCCCTTTAAAAATTTGTTTTAATTATTTTCTATTAGTTATTTGATCATTTATTTCAAATGTTTACATACCTTTACATCATGTATTGTATAATAATATATTTCTTGCTATGGATAAAAATGAAAGGTGTAGTTCACCCAAAAATGAAAATTCTATCATTAATTACTCACCTCTCTCTGACCCTCCCATAGACAGCAAGGGTACTACCGCGATCCGGGCCATCCTTAGCTGAAGCGGGGCCCGGTGCAAGGTAGGGAGCGGTCCGTTCGCCGTGGGGCCTCACCAGTTGCGCCCCCCTAAGTACGGCCCTGACCTCGATCAAGGCACAGAAACTTAGCAAGGACATCGGTAAAATAATCCATGTGACACCAGGGGTTCAACCGCAATTATGCAAAGCTACAAGAATACTTTTTGTGTGCAAAGAAAATTCACAGAAAATTCAAGAAGATGCACCATGCGCATGTGTCATTTACATGAAGCGGAAGCATGCGCATGCGTCGTGATACTCTGTCCACAGTGGCGGCGCATGACAGCAGACGGGATGAGGAGGAGGAGAAGAATTGTTGAATAAAGTCATTATTTTTGTTTTCTTTGTGCACAAAAGGTATTCCCGTAGCTTTGTAAAATTACGGTTGCACACCTGATGTTACATGGAGCATTTTATCGATGTCCTTGCTACGTTTCTGTGCCTTGACCATGGTAGTACCCTTGCTGTCTATGGAGGGTCAGAGAGATCTCGAATTTCATCAAAAATATCTTAATTTGTGTTCCGAAAATGAACGAAGGTCTTATGGGTTTGCAACGACATGAGGGTAATTAATGACAGAATTTAAATTTTTGGGTGAACTATCCCTTTAACTTCACTTCTTTTGCAAAGAATTGCTGGTCCAAATCTGTCAAGCAAGTCTAACACTGTCTTACTCTGAAATTGCTTGCGATCAAATTGGTTTGGCTTGTAAAACACCGGTTTTAATAATCCAAGTTCTTGTTTCTTCAGAACCCGCAGCGATCTCTCAGTCAGCAGCTGCTGCCTATAATAATTTCTGCGGCAAAATGTCAGTCTCAATGCATGTACACAATTAGTTCTGCACTGTTTAAACACAACCAAGACTCAGCTGCCACTGCGATCTAGTGTCGTCCATCTCCTAGAGTAAGGAAACTAGGCTGGATCGGATGTTAACAAATTAAAACAAACCATCTTTCCCTCAGGTATAATCCGGACAGCTTTGGGACCTTCCGATATGGACAGAGAGCAGAGGGAGCACTACCAGGTGGTGATCGAAGTCAAGGACATGGCCGGCCAGAAGGGGGGCTTAACAGGCACCACCACAGTAAACATTAGCCTCACCGATGTCAATGATAACCCTCCTCGTTTCATGCAGAGTAAGCATGCATTCAATAAAAAGAAAAATATGTATGTAAATGCAGAAATATCACCGATCTGATATTTGCACAAGACATTTGTTCCATAATTCCAAAGATTTCTGAAAGGGCAAATAGCAAGCGATACAATACAGAAACTTAAAAAAAAAACAAAGACGGATACACTTTTTTTATCTTTGTGTGAAGGAAAATGGTTAGTGGCAAAGCTTTAGCAACTGTGTGAGGTCTGTGTGTTAATCCTGATTAAATGGACAGAGTGGGCTCAGCTCACTTACTCTTTTGTGTTTCTCTTAATATAATCTATTCTTTTAGCCTGCATGCAAATAGAAAATGCTTGGAATTTTTGTCTTGTTAATCAGAGAAATGCAGGGTATGAGCACAAAGCGGATTTATAGTAGGCAGCACAATACCAGTCACATTCGCCATTTATTACAGTAAAGAGAACACCAAGACTATGCTTTAAAAAAAAAAACACTTTAATTGGCTGCAGTGTTAGATACAGGGATCTGATTTTTGAATGTAAAAATTCCCCCGAACCCTTATTTTGGGTTCACTATAGTTGGTGTTTAAATTATAGATCTTCTCTCAAGAAAAAGAAGACTCTTGAGAATTCATAGTTCCAAGCACAACCTGACATTAACATTATGTTCCTCAGGTATATATCAGTTCAGCGTTCCAGAGATCACCAAGGTAGAATCATCGGTTGGCAGGATCAGGGCTGTGGATGCCGATGTCGGCAGAAATGCGGAGATGGACTATACCGTTGTTGGCGGAGACGGTCTGGATGTGTTCGACGTCAGCACTGACAGGAACACCCAAGAAGGCATACTTAGTCTTAAGAAGGTACAGAGGATTTTTCATTTCACTTGTGCATGTTTGAAAAGCCTTTTTTAGAATTAATCTGAATGGCTTGTGAATAAAATGCAGGTTTTTTTGGCTGAAAATTTGACCAAGAGTGGTTTGTTTATTCCTGTGAATGTGTTTTTCCATTGCAGCCTCTGGACTATGAAAAGAAGAAATCGTACACGCTTCAGATCCAGGTCCAAAACACACATCCAGACCCACGCTTTCTGAGCTCGGACGCTAAGGACATGGCGACCATCAGGGTCAGTGTTGAGGATGTGAATGAGCCTCCTCATTTTGAGAAAATCAGCTATATTTTGGAGGTGAAAGAGGACGCGGCTGTGGGCACCATGATAGGATCGGTCAGCGCTGTGGATCCTGACATACGCCGCAGTCCGGTCAAGTAAGGGCTTTGCATTAATATCATCCCACATTGTTTCCATCATCTATATTTACAAGATTGTGGTAAATCTCTTTAAATGCACATATCCCAACACACTATAGCTTGGCAGAAGCCTCTTAAACATCTGCCCGTTTCTTCCAGCGACCTTTTGATAATCGCAAAACCCTGATTAATCTGTCTGGAGCTATGGCGATATGAGCTTAGATGGACTGCTTCCTCAGAGCATGCTTATTAAATTCACATTTAATTCGAGAGGTCCTTCAATTGCAGCATCTTTATGAGATAATTGTAATAAACTACAATTATAAGAATAAATGCGGATATTATCACTGTCCAAAGAGCCCTAATGATAAAGCTGATGCAGAAGGCTCAGGACAATAAATGGATGTTTTTCCCTCCGGAGTCCACAGTAAATAAGAACACAGAATAGAAGCGCAATTAAAAAGCCCTCTGCAGCAGTGAACAGGACTTCAGGGCTGGTAATTATCAGGGACATCAGAAGCACAAGCAACACTGTCGCTCTGAACATCAGGAGGCTAATTAGGAAATTGAACAATCCCACTGATTGATTGCATTTGAAAGAGCAATATTGTGATCTTCTGGTGAAAGAAGAACAAATGGGAACTGGGCATGTGTGGGCTCAGGGCAGTGGGATTTCATGCAGTTATAGCTGTGGTGTGCATCAAGCTTTCTCAAGTGTCTCCTGCTCTAAAGGATCAGTCATGTTAATGGTTGTGAAAACCAGTGTTGGGGAAACTGTTTTGCCAAGTTACAAGCTAATTAGAATAAGTGTTCAAACTAGTCAACGCACACTTTTGAAATAGTAGTATCTTTCATGTTTTTTTTTCCTTTTACTGTGTAAGAATAAAAAAAACATTCAATAGTAATTACAAAACGCTTACAAAGAATAGTTAAATGATCGTAGCTGATAATAACCAGAAAAATGTATTGTCAATTTTATTTTATTTTTTTACATTTTCTGGCATTTCCAGGTTTTCGCTGACTGTAGAAACTAAATGAACTGATTAATTTATGCTAAATGCAACAACATTTAGTTATATTTTTGTTTAGGCTAAATAAGGAAGACCTAAACAGCAACAGTGATTTTTGCAAAGGGACTCAAATCAGCGAGTCACGTTGATAGAATCAGTTCATTTACATGAACCATCTGAACAATTAATTTCCAGCACTAAACAGGAGAGTGAAAGGGGCAAGTATAGCAGTGCGGATCTGATTAGTCTTCCCTATAAAGACAAAACAACAATTATGACAACACTGACTAAAAAAGATTTCCGTTTTTTTCTATGAATTTTTAATGATTTTCATGCTCCATTTTCTCTGAGCAAATGAGCCAAACCTGTTTATCACAGGTCATCTGTTAATTTAAAATGTGTAGCAATGTTGTTTTACCTTGCAACACATGACATGATTTGTCATGCTAAAATGCTAATTAAAAGTAGCTAATTACTGGAAGAGTTACACATTTTGAAAATAACTTAAAGGAGTAGTTCACTTCCAGAATGAAAATGCTGTCATAATTTACTCACCCTCTACTTGTTCCAAACCTGTATGAGGTTCTTTTTTCTGTTGAACACAAAAGAAGATATTTTGAAAAATGTTAATATCCAAACAGTTGATGGGTACTATTGACTTCCATAGTAGGAAAAAAAATACTGTGGACGTCAATGGTGCCCATCAACTGTTCGGATGCTAACATTTTTCAAAATGTCTTCTTTTGTGATCAACAGAAGAAAGAAACTCATATAGGTTTGGAACAAGTGGAGGGTGTGTAAATGAGCATTTTCATTCTGAAAGTGAACTACTCCTTTAACACTGTTGAAAACATGTTGACAATTGAGCTAAATGGTTTGAATTACAGGTACTCCATTGACCGGCACACAGATGTCGACTGGATTTTTGGTGTCTATGTTGGGAATGGATCTATATTCCTGCAGAGGCCTCTGGATCGAGAAGAATTCGCTTGGCACAACATCTCAGTGATCGCGACCGAGTTCAGTAAGTGACTCCACGCGGCTCATAGCCGCAGTTCATTTGGAATGAATTTAGGCTGATAAGCTCAAGTCATCCAGCATTACATTTCTCCAATAGGATTTATGCATTTTCATTTGCCATGACAGCTTATATTGACTAAATATATTAGTTTACTTTTTTAAATTAGAAATCCAGTTTCCTCCTGCGACTCCAATAATGTGAGTTTCTATCATCTCAAGTAGTCAACCATCATCTGCCACATCTTTTTAAGGACACTTAGACAACCCCGAGCAGACCAGCCGAGTGCCTGTGTACATCCGCGTACTGGATGTCAACGATAACCCCCCCATGCTGGCATCCTTCTACGAGACCTTCGTCTGTGAAAACGCCAAAGCCGGTCAGGTAAAGAGCATTTTAGTATACGTTTCCCATTTTATCTGCCACATTGTCAATTTCGATGTAAGATAAGGGGGAATAAATCCAGTTCTCCTGTTCGGCCGGCGATTGGATGTGTCGATTTAAAGCAGGGGCGTCTGTTAAACAGTGTGTGACCTCTACAGAACTCACACCTCCGGAGCGAGATAGAGATCAGTGATGAGTATTTCTCCTTCATGGATTAGACGGCAGAGCCTTTTTCTGTCAGGTTTGATGAGATTATGTGTCATGGTGGATGACAGGGGCTGTCACATATCACAGGCACTTCATAATAACTGTCCACCTCTCCTCCATTTTCTGACTCTTCTTGTATCCCTCGTTGTCCGTCATCACCCACCTCACTGACCCGCCCACCTCAGCTGCTGGCAGAATTGTTCAACCTGGGGTGTGCCAAGGTTTAGTTATTACTGGGTACAAAAAGACAGAAGACTCTTTATTAAGAACATACATTACATAGGGTAAATCCAATAAAAAAAATAAATAGAGAAAAAACTAAACAATTTCCTAAAGACATCAGTAGTATCGGTATCAGTGATACTCGCCTTCAGTCATAAAAAAGATGCCATTAAATATATATTAAAAAAAAAAATTAATCTTGATTTCCAGTGAAAATGTCAGAACATCCTTCTCAATTTAAAATCAATTTAAACATCCTTCTAAATTTCATATTATATTTATTGTTGCCATTTTTTCTTATTTTAAGTGTAAATCTAATACAATTTAGTGAGGTTTATGTTAAAAACAAGAACAAACAATCTAAAAAAAAATTAAATAAATAAATAATAGTCATTTAACCACAACCCTACAGAGAATAAGCTATTTGGAAAATGGATAGATGGATGGATAATAATAACTCAATATCTATTCATTGAAAAAGTCGTATGTAAATTACACAACCTTTACAGAAACAAGTGCATATGCTATCAACTACATCTATCCAAATCTATCAGTAAAAATGTCAGAACATCCTTCTCAATTTACTTGATGCAAAATTTCATAAGATATTAAGTGTTGCTTTTTTCATTTTTTAAGAATAAATCTAACACAGTTTAGTGAGGTTATCTAAAAAGTATTTTAAAAAATAATAAAATAAAAACAGATAATAAGTGATTTGGAAGATGGATGGATAATAATATTTGAATATATATTCACTAAAATAGTCTCATAATTATATAAATTACACAGTTTTTTACAGAAACAAGCATATATGCTATCAATCACATCTATCAAAAGTATAAATATATATTAGTATATGTATAGTAGAGGTCGGCAAATGCGTCGGCGTGTTCAATTGCATTTTTTCATGATAACGGCATTTTTGGTCGTACAGATAAGAGTAATACACCATTAAACAATTTGCGTCTCCTATTTAAGTATGTATAGGTAAAAGAGAGTTACAAAACAGCAGACTTATGTGGCAATGCTGTTACTTGCATGATGAAACTAAACAATTAGTAATTATTATGATGTTTATTAGTTATATTTAAGCAACGGCAGTGTGAGATAAGGCTGGGAGTTTGGTTCTGTTCAGCAGTTATATTCTACCAGACTGCAGTAAAGCCCAGAGGAAAGGGAAGCCAGCCAGCAACACAAGAAATCTGGCCAGTACGTAAGCCTGGTAGAGAAAAAACACCAAGCACACAATGGATGATTACATTTTTGTCACAGCGTGTTGCCAGTGCACCCTTGAGAGATGCATTTAAACTAAAATTGCCCTTGGTGACAACTAAAGATAACTATGAGCCTCTATCACTGAGCCAACATCTTTCCTCGCTGTAAACATGCTTATAGTGTTTACATGTAAACACTTGTAAGGTCTGAAAGATTGACATTGTGAATGGGTCATGCAGTACCGTATGCAGTGCATTTCCAGCTGTGTACCTTAAATAAAAATTAACAAAATATGCAAGTAATAGGGTATGTGCAGACCTATATGTGCTGGTCAAGCTCATGCATTTAAATGGTATTTATCACAAAATTTGAGAATTAACTGGAGACCTATCTGGAAGGAAATACAGAGCAAAAGTTAACTAAAAGGAGTTAGAAGACGAAAAAAAAAAAACGGTGGAAAATTGAAACTGAAAAAAAAAATCAATCATTACTAATTAACACACTATCTCTAGAAAGATGTTGAAAATGTTTTGTTTGAAATTTTTATTAGAAAAAAATTATAAAAAATGTCTGCTACATTAGAAAAAATTTATGTTTTTGATATTAGAAGTTGACATAAATAGCAACATTGTCTTTTAGTTAAATAAACTAGACTAGTTAAATGGATAAAAGTGCTAATAAAAACTAATATGATTTTTATCTTTAAGGCAAGACACCCCAGGTGAATAGCGTAAGAGAGAAAAAAAATGTATGTATAAATATAAATGAACAAATAATAAACCATAATTCCCCAGTAGAAGTATGGTTATTACATTAAGAATTGCAAAAAATTTTTGTACGTTTTTTTTTTATTGTTATTTAAATATGCAAATTAGGCATTACCTAGTTAAATAAGCATTCATGTCTGCTACATTAGAAAAAATTTATGTTTTTGATATTAGAAGTTGACATAAATAGCAACATTGTCTTTTAGTTAAATAAACTAGATTAGTTAAATGGATAAAAGTGCTAATAAAAACTAATATGATTTTTATCTTTAAGGCAAGACACCCCAGGTGAATAGCGTAAGAGAGAAAAAAAATGTATGTATAAATATAAATGAACAAATAATAAACCATAATTCCCCAGTAGAAGTATGATTATTACATTAAGAATTGCAAACATTTTTTGTACGTTTTTTTTTTATTGTTATTTAAATATGCAAATTAGGCATTACCTAGTTAAATAAGCATTAATTTGCATACATTTCTAGAATAAAAATCTGAACATTGGATAAAGCCAGTTTCAAAATTCTTGTTTCGGTTTGTTGACATATTAGAGTCAAATGTATAGAGCAGATTTTAGATATCATTCCATAAATTTGAAAATTTCAGTTCAGTTCTGGCTCAGTGCAGGAATAAAAATCTAATTTTGAGAAAAATGGCTTTTAAATACAGTGTATTTATTACAATTGAAAGATAAAGTGCAATGAAAGAAACATTAAAAGTGTATGTTTAATGTTTTTTTATTCCACTAGTCTGAAGAAAAAAAAACACTTGAAATCAAAAAGGCCAATGCATAAAAAACAATGTTTTGCCTGTAATATAATATAATATAATATTATACAATATTATATAATATTATATAAAATTATATATTTATGATGGGGACATAACAAAACCAAACCAAATACCATTTGTAATGTTTGTTCTATGGACTTTGTTAAATATGTGATTGTCATCATTTGCTTCTTTGCCACAGAAAATCCAGACGATAAGCGCAGTGGATCCAGATGACCCGGTCGGTGGACATCGCTTCTTGTTCTCTTTAGCACCAGAGAGCTCAGTGCGAGCAAACTTTTCACTCCGAGATAATGGAGGTGGGTGCCCTCTCACATTGTCTGGCCTTCTAACTAGCTCACTGTCTCTCTTCATGACAACACAGACCAATCAAATGGGAGAAATCTTTAAGACACATGGCCTCTCCAAGTCTAGCTGTTTAAACTGAGGCAGCTCGTTCTGCAGTAGCCATAACTTTAGGTCAGTCTGGGCCCGCTGCGGTCTGCAGAGAGGCCAGATCTTTCGTTTCTTAATAAACTAAGCGCTCAACTCTCTGCAGATAACACAGCTGGGATCTTTACACAACGCACCGGATTTGGCCGAATGCACAAGAGCACCCATCTAGTGGCTGTGGTGATCTCAGACGGACACATTCCCATGCAGAGCAGCACGGGCACGGGCACGCTCACAATTCGGGTTTGTACGTGCGACCGAGACGGCAACATGGAGATGTGCAACGCCGAGGCTCTGAGCAGCGCTGCGGGGCTCAGCACGGGGGCGCTGGTGGCCATCCTGCTCTGCATCCTCATCCTGCTCTGTAAGTAGCCTTCAGTTCTCTCTTTTGACTTTAACAATCAGATCACTTTTCCTACGTCCATCTGTCTGATGGCCGCTTCCTCCATCTGTCTGTCTGCTGTGAATCCGACTGTTCATCTTTCAAGCCCTTTGTTAGTGGGACTTTTCAGTTCATTTTCCCACCTGTCTTCCTGTCAGTTAGCGCTTTTGTCTGTGCTGCCATGTGATTAATTACAATTCCATTGGTCTGAAGTGTGTACGCCTGATCTGCATGTAAAATAATTTGCAATTATGGAGGGAAAAAAGGAAAATAAAGAAAAACTATTTCTGACATGCTCAGATGGCTGAACTGATAAAACTCACTTGTTGGTTATTTATTCAGGAAACTGGGTAACAAGGGCTAAATTTCAGTTAAACTCAATCCATCCTTGATTTCGTTCAACAAAAAAAGGAATATCACATTTCAGTTTTAGACTTGATTTTAATTGAAGCACTTGTGTCTTCATACAACTAACATGCTTCTGTAATTGATCGATTTACTGTGGATTTATTTGATTTTTTTGACGATGCATTTGAATTGTTGTAGGAAAGCTTGCTTATTTGAGTTCTGCTAACTGTTAACATCAGCTAGATCTCACCTGTGAACTGCACGCAGTGGCTCTCTTAATGACCTGACACCTACATTAGGTGTCACCCACAGGGTGAAAGCATGCATCATGTATAAAACAATTCCTGCTCCACTACAGTGAAAGTTCACTGATAAAAGCAACCAAATGGCACTGGGGGGTTACTAAAAACGAATTGCGGCCCACTGAAAGTGTGGTTGCACACACTGTCTGAATCACTTCTTCAAAATGCCAAAAGCGTACTTGACTACACCGCACATCTGGATATATGGCTGTTTATAATGCTCTTATTCATCATTTGATGAATATCTGCTATAATGATCAGTAGCAAATTACATTTCATTTACCACCTGCTTTCTGCGGGTGGTTTTAGCTAACGCTATTTAGCAGCATTGAGTTGCTAATGGTATTTTATATTACATATATATAT